TGTGTGTGTGTGTGTGTGTGTGTGTGTGTGTGTGGGGTGGGGTGGGTAGGTAGGTAGGTAGGTAGGTACATGTGTTCATTTGACACATTATGGTGTTTCCCATTCCCTCTGATGAGAGTATTGGCTGCTTTGTGTAGTGTGAGCTTGTGCCCTGAAACTCTCCACCTCACCTAAACAAAACCTGCTGACATCCTTGCGTGTGTGTGTCTGAAAAAGTGTGTGTGCATGTGTGAGCTTGTTACTAAAGTAAGGAGCTGTAAACTAGAGGTGTTGCTTTTGTTCTTTTTCTTTTCTACAGTGTTATCGTGCAGGGATTATTTTATGTTCATAGTTTGTTTTTCCTAAACTTTTTTTGTTTTTTCTTGCTTGTACATAAAGACAAAAAAAGAATCCCACGTTTTATCTTTTTTTTAATTACATTAATATAAAAAAACAAGGAATCATAAAAAACTTTGCTTGAAAAAAAATAAAAAATACGGAAGAAATAAAGCAATTTTCAAAGAAAAGTGACGATCTGTGATTTCTTTTGTTTTATTGAACTGCAATGACAAAGTGTCTGTTTGTGTTGTCTGATATTGGTACTAAAATTTATCCGAATTTATTAACAAGATGCTAAGAGATTCATCGGGAGGAATTCTGATGCACAAATAATTTAAGTCATTTATTATTTATCAGAATATATATAAAAGAAAACATCCAAATTTTTTATATATTTTATCCAATACCTTTAATCTTGAATGTTAAAATTTTATATTTATAAATATATTATATAATGGTCATTGCAGTTGAATGAGAGATTCTAAATTAACTGCCGTTTATTCTGGAATAAATGATTTATTCTACGTGATGCCGTCACTTCCTGTCGTACGTACAATCAGGAAGCCGGTGCCCCTGTTGTGATATTTGAGGAAATCAATTCTGGGCGAAGTTCACTTGCAAAAAGTGGGATAACAAAACATAAATCAGATTTCGGGGGTGAGAATGGAGGTAAGAGTAGTTGGTATTAGAAACTTTTGACTTAATAAAAAAAGAATCACTTTTTGTCTTCATACGTGATGATCAATTCTAACACGATCTTTTGGTTTTCTTGTCGCGAGCGCATCAGCCCGGACATGTTTAATTTTTTATTTTATTTCATTCGTCATTTTATTGATTTAAGACTTTATAAATAATTTGTTCGGTGACATAATATTGTGTCGTCTGCTTGTTAAAGCTGCAATAATCAACTGTAGCAAAGTTAACTCATTTTGTCGGTTGGATTAAAATCGGTAAGAACAGAATGACAGGCGGCTTCCTGTCGTAGCTTTCAAAATAAAAGCCTGAATCATCAATGGGTTATGCGGTGACCAAAACATATTTGGGACACCCGTGTTTTTTTGGGGATCCCCATTACACTTCATGGGGTCCAATATCCACAGTCAAAAAATATGTCGCTCAAAAAAAAAATATATATATATATTTTTTTTTAAATTATATTATTTATTTATGTTTTTAAAGCAAACATCTATGATTTTGTATGTAAGCCTGTTAGATCAAGGTATAAAAAAGGTTGTGAGAAAGTTGTTGTATACTTAGACATTTTACAACCAAAAGATGAACTAATAATTTAAATTGAGACTCAAAACTCAAATCTATTAGAATTTTTGCAGAATACCGCAGCTTGTTAACATATTAAAGAACATCTGTGATAAACCCACTGATGATTTGTATTATTTCCTAACCTTTGAGTCGATGGAGAGTAGAGAAGTCTTGTATATATAAATAAAATCTAAGATAAAATAAGAGAATCCTTTATTTGTCCTGCAGTGGGGAAATGTACAGGATTACAGCAGAATAGTGGATAGTGCAAACAAGAGACAGAGTAAAAACAAGATCAAAACAAGTATTATAAATAAGTAATAAACAGTAAAGAATATTAACTAAGTAAAAAATCCACAATATCTAAAATATTAAAAAATAATATTATATATACAGACAGCTCTTATATCTCAAATACCGGTTGTAGTATATTTGTGTTTAATCAAATTAACCCAAATGAACAGACACAACCTTGTGTCATTTAGTGTTATTCCAGCGGGTACTTTGGGCACTTCCACAGTGCCTGGAGAAGAGAAAGAGGCTATTGTTAACGGTCAAAACAAATATTAAATCTGCTATGTGCACTGTAACAGAGAATAGTTCAAACAAATGCTCAATATCTCGTCTATTGAGTCCCCTAACGGGTTTATCCGACCACACATATTTCACTATAATTCTGTCTTGTGGGTATTGTAATGTATTTAATTGTATTGTTTTAAAATAAATAGTAAAATGGGTTGAATTAAAAAAACATAAAAACCAAGTTAGCAACCTATTTTTATTTTGAAATCATCATTCAACATCCGGCGTGATCCCTTTCCCCCGTTAATTCTCTCCACGATCCGCCGCTCTGGATCCATTGAGCAGCCTGGCCCGGGCCAACACTAAGCAGAGCCGATCCTGCTCTGCGTTCCTCTCTCCCTGTCAGACACCTTTGAAATGACCATTCTCTCGTGCCACAGACCATCTCGAGCGGCTTTAAAACAGTCTGTCTGTTAAATGTAACGCCACGTCAGCCGTGCCCGCGAGCTGCGTCCGTAGGTTGAATTGTCACGTTTGGGGACCGACGGACAAAAGAATCTTGAAGTGAGGAGTGCTGCAGCCTTGCGTCAAAGCCAGCTAAAGCTAAACCGTGGTAGGACAGATCAGCACGACAGACGGGCAACAGCCACGTTACCCGTCGGCAGCTAACGTAGCCAGACAGACAGGCTATTTTTGGCCCGGTTGCTGTAAGACGGGGGCCTCATAAGCTATAACATATGAGGCCCAGTTGAAAAAGATGGACCTGAATTTTTATTCGGATTTAACGGACGGTACCGGGCAGCACGACGGTGACCCGGAGTTCCTGGATCCGCAGTCCTTCAATGGGTTTGACACTGACACCAAGGTGACTCTATCTTTATGAATGGGTCCACACGTCATTCACACAAAGAAACGGACACAATGTTCTATATTCTAACTAACTAATGGGTGTCGTGAACGCACCTCAAGTGTTCTTTTCTTGATTGGTTATAACACATCCTTGTGTGTTTTAGTGTCCAAAAAAGAGGATGGAGTCTGGTTTTGGAGAATCCTTTGACATCAATAATCTTGATTTTATTCTTGACTTGTGTATCGTAATGTTTCAGTTCCCTGGAGGCAGTGACAACTACCTGACGATCTCTGGGTCCGGCCATCCCTTCCTCTCCTCCTCAGAGGTAGGCGTCCTTCACATCTGGATTTATAGGGCCCTGGATGTCTCTCTGACGGGCTTTTGTTTATTACCATGGAGCCACACAGCTGTGGACACATGTTTCGGGTTAAAATCAAGCAGAATCACACCCATTCATTACCGTACATAAGAGTCACAGAGCTAAAGCTGCTTTTCATGTCATAGCAGAGTAATAGAGTTTCAGCCTCGTAAATGTGGCTCTTGTTTCAGCCTCTGGTTCCCAACCTTTGTGACGCCTTATACAGTAAATCTATATCTACATGTGTCGATGAGTTGTGACCGTTTCAACCAAAAGATTGATTCTTACTTTTTAGATTTTATTTGATTCATTTATAGAGGCCTGAAGGGGTCAAACTGTCCTGTAATTCACAAGAAAAACAGCCCAAATGTGTCAAAAAAAGTCTGCTTTTTGGAGGATCCAGACCCCCATGATGGATTTAATTAACTATAAATGGGTTGCGATGTGAAATGAGTCAGGATGTGAAGTCGTAGCTTGCTCAATTTGTACAATTTAAAACCAAAATGATCTCTATTAGCTAGAGGATCTTCAGGGTTTAAAAAGATCACAAGTTGTTTACGTTTTAGGAAAAATAGACGCTTAGCTCTGTGACTTGCATGTAGTCAACCACACCACAACCAAGCCTAACCTCAACGATCTCTAACTTAATCAACAAATTATATTTCGTAGCATTTCAACCATGTTAATAATAGATTTTTATCTTGTGCGAGTCCTACACAACAAGGCTACGAATGACTTAACGTCAGCGCCGTGAGTAACGTAAACAAACATTTGTAATCAACGTGCATCACTGACATACTCGCATCTTTTAGTGTTCCACTAAACCCATTGACCTCTTCAACCTCGCGGGATCTGCCGGTGGAGTATGAATCATTTATAAATACTTTATATTTCACTACCCCCTTCCTGCTTAAATCCAGACCTTTTTTTGCTTTCTTTTTAAAACAATGCTGTCATTTAGGAAACAAGCTTTTAATAAGAGGCTATTTTATCATCAGAATAGATAGAAATGTTACAAAAAGAGGGATGAAAGTATACAAATAAGTTCAACAAATAACAGTTCAACCAGGTTAGAGAGCATTTTCCAGGCATGGCATACATACTCTTAACACCTGTAATATTTCAATCATCAGCATTTCTCACTCTCGGCTGGTCACCTGACAGCACACTTATTTTTATTATTGCATGACCAACTTGCCTTCTTCTAGCTTCACTGTGATCCTGGATGACTGGTGTCACCGAGCTGCTTCTCTACTGCCTGAACTAACTCGGGGGTTTTCCTATCCAGCTATAAGAGTTCCCATGATGCAACATCATCAACATGTAACAATACTTCATAAGACACGAGATGAAACGGGGATGATTCGTTTGATAACCAGATATTAAAAAGTAAGGCTAAAAGCAATAACTATGGCCATTTCTAAACCCTTTTATCTTTGTTATAATTATTAACAAGTAAGTAAAGAGCCAGCTGATGTGATTCTTTATTACTTCTCACTTTATTGTACAGTCAGTATGTTTGTCCTTCTCAGGATCCTGTAGGAATATAACGAAATCTACTTTAGTTAAAAGAGAGCCAGCTAACCCACTAATCTCTCTTTGTGCCGCCCTTTGTCCTCCGCTGAATCAAACACTTTCTGACACATACACAGTATTTTGGAGATGTGTCAGTATTCAAGTATGTCTTTAAATTAACTTTCGTCCAAACTCTGTTTGCAGTAATGACTGACTTTCTTCTCCCAACTTTCTCGTGTGGCTCTTTCTTTCCATGTTGTTGTTTCCTCCTCTCCACCACAGTTTCTCACAAACTTGTTTTCTCTTCCCTCCACTCTTCTTCTTCTTCTTCTTCTTCTTCTTCTTCTTCTTCTTCTTCTTCTTCTTTTCCGCTCCAGACGTTCCACACTCCCAGCCTCGGCGATGAGGAGTTCGAGATCCCCCCCATCTCGCTGGATCCAGACTCGGCGCTCACCGTGTCGGACGTGGTGTCCCATTTCGGGGGGCTGTCGGACACGGGTACCTCCGACAGCGTTGTGGTGCCCGGGAATGCCGTGGTGGAAGGGGACGACCCCTCGTTCGCCTCCACCTTCGTCAACGCCCCCTCGCAGGGACTGGAGCACCTGAGCCTGGGAGTCATCAGCCAGTCGGGAGGCAGCGCTCTGCTGGGCTCGTCGCTGGGCATGGTGAGCAGACGTCTGAGCTGTTACCTCGGTGCCAAACACCAGGCGAACTCGCTCACGTTTCATTCCCGTCCCCAGGATCTCGGCCACCCCATCGGTTCTCAGTTTAGCAGCTCGTCCCCGGTGACCATCGATGTTCCGCTGGGCGACATGAGCCAGGGCCTGCTGGGGTCCAGCCAGCTGACCACCATCGACCAGTCCGAGCTCAGTGCTCAGCTGGGGCTCGGCCTGGGTGGCGGGAACATGCTGCAGGGGCCCCAGTCGCCCGACAACCCTCTGTCGGCCACGGCGTCACCCACCAGCTCGCTCCAGGACGACGACATGGACGACTTCAGAAGGGTGAGTTTTAAAACATCAACGTTCTTACACCACGACACAGTCCTAATGAACCCAAAAGAGTTATTATTCTAAGTTTATATTTGATAAAAACGGCACAGTTTAAGCAATTTGGTGTTTCTTGTCCCGTAAGCAGTTTTTAAAAAAGAGAACCATTTTGAAATGTTTTCCTGACTCTAACATGCTCCGTCCCCGTCCCCTCCCATCAGAGCGTCCTGGTGGAGTCTCCGGTCTCTCTGGCCGTCTCCCCCGGAGTCATCTCCCTCGACCCCTCCCTGTCTGCTCCCCCGCTCTCCTTCCCCACCACCAGCATCTCGCCAGCCGCCGGGCGGAAAGGAGCGAAGAGGTGGAAGACTAAGAAAGACCCCAACGAGCCCCAGAAACCCGTGTCGGCCTACGCCTTGTTCTTCAGGGACACGCAGGCGGCCATTAAGGGACAAAACCCCAACGCCACGTTTGGAGAGGTGTCGAAGATCGTGGCCTCCATGTGGGACAGCCTGGGGGAGGAGCAGAAACAGGTGAGAGGAAACCCTCGACACTTTAGCAATGTGCATTTCATAGTCCATTCATTGATTGGATAGATTGAGCTCAGCTTGAAGGAAATGTCTTTCAAAGTATCTTCTCGTAGGCTCAATAACGTCCTAATGTCAGTGCGTGATGTATAATATTTTTTTTTGCAGGTTTACAAGAGAAAAAACGAAGCGGCTAAGAGGGATTACTTGAAGGCGCTGGCGGAGTACAGAGCTGGCCAGAGTTCTCAGGTGAGCTGCTGTGACACACTCTGCATGCTGTATTGCGGTTTTTGTGGCGTTTCCTGTTTTAAAATATAAGCAAAATACATGCATGTACAGAATGCATTAAAACTCACTCTGAGCATCTTCTACATCTACATGATGAATGTTGTACGTCTTTGTGTCCAACCGTCCTCTCTGTAGGCCCCCATCGAAGTCATGGACACCTCCCCGTCGCCTCCGTCGCCCCCACCGTCGGCCCTGGGTCCCGCCGTCATGGCCGCCCACGCCTCCACCCTCGCCGCCCGCTCCACCAGGTCGCAGCATTACAACCCCGAGGAGAACACCATCACCAACATCTGCACCTCCAACATCATCCTGGACCTGCCGCAGGTCACGACGCGCTCCCGCACCGGCGCCACCAAACCCCAACCGCCGCCGCCTCCCGCCCCCGCCCCCGCCCCGCCGAACCCGCCCACCGTCGCCAAGATCATCATCAAGCAGATGCAGCTGCCCTCCGGCGGCGTGACGGTCACGGCGACGGCCGCTGCCTCCTCGCCGCGCCAGCCGCCACCGCTGCAGCAGATGCAGAGCACCTCTCTGCCGCCTCGGCTGCAGCAGATGGTGCACGCCCAGGCCCCGCCCCCTCTGCAGGCCAAGCCGCGAGGCGGAGGCGCGGTCGTCGCCACCACAGCTCCGCCCCCGCTGCAGATCAAGGTCATCCAGTCGTCGCGGCAGGTGGATCCGAGAGCGGCGATGAGCGTGACGTCGGCCGGCGGGGCGCCCACATCGGTGTCCCCCGCGGGTCTGACGGTGGAGGTGGGACAGTCGGCCGACCTGGTGACGGGAGGAGAAGAAGTGGTGGAGGCAGAGGAAGGGGTGAGCTCAGCAACGCAGGCCTGAGCTGCACATTTGGACGGTTTGATGAACACCTTTTTAAATGTAAATCTGTCTTTGGGCTTGTTTTTGTCTCCCAGATGGAGGTTGAGGTGAACGTCGCCCCCGTCCCGAGTGTGAATACTCCCGCTGCCAGCCGTAACATCTGTGTGCGAGCCGGCTGCACGAGGCCCGCTGTGGAGTGCCAAGACTGGGACAAGGAGTACTGTAGCAATGAGTGTGTCGCCACACACTGCAGGTGTGTTCACCAGCAGCATGCAAAATAGTTTTCTGTTATCAGTCAGTGTGTCGATAGAGTAGTGAAGTCCTGTCTGTTCAGCTGTGATGGACTAAGAAGCTTTAAAGGGCTGTAAAAGAAAACAATAAATAAACCAACTAATAGTTTAACTCGCACACGTAGTTCCACACTAACTGATAATCAAAACTAATTTGTCAGAAATTGACTTTAAGTGTCGTGAAAATAATCTTTTTTTTCTGCTCCACAGAGATGTGTTCATGGCCTGGTGCGCCATCCGAGGGCAGAACTTCACCACCGTCACATAGGGGACGAGGACAGAGGAGAGTAACAAGGGGACGAGGACAGAGGAGAGTAACAAGGTGACATGAACAGAGGAGGGAAGGAGCTACCAGGCTCGGGTGTCGGCACATAAAGGCTCCGTTTTGTCGACGAGGCGGTCGCAGGAAAAGTAATTGAAAATCACTAAAATCGACACAAAGGACTCTCCAGCAGCAAGAAAAACTCTGAATTATTTGGAAGTACCGCAGCGGGAATGACTGCTCACAGAGAGGACAGATGGATGAATAATAAGACTGAAGAAAAAGGAGAAGAAGAAACTTCCAAGTGATCATCTATTGTGAATCTGAAATATGGGCGTGATAAAGAAAAAGAACATTTTGTTATGGACTTATGGTGTTTTTAATTGTTTTGTGCAGGAAGGGGAATCATGGGAGTTAATTTTATTCATTTAAAACACTTCACATGTGTTCGCTCTTCCCTTTACTGTCACACTGGGGCTCGAGTCATCTATGAAGCGTTTAATTGTTCTCTTCATTAATGTGATCGGGTGCTTCTTTTAAAGATGTAACATACACACGAGCGACTACTGGGCAAAGCACAAACAATCCTAAAGGTATTTTGGAGTCGTACAAAAAGGTAAAATGTTTGTGAGATGACGGGGGAAATTAATCTGCCGCAAGCCAAATGCAGTTCGTCACCTTTCTAAAGCACTTTAAACTACCACCGTGCAAACAATTTTAACTCACACTTTGAAAACAGGTGCTAAGGTTCAGTCGAAAGATGACTCGTGTTCTCCTCTCCTGCTGTAACACCCCGCAACATAAGAGCTTTTTAAATGTGTGGTGAAAGTATCGGAATGAAATGAAACGCACACCAGCTCTGACAACACTACTGTACGGGGAAATATGAAAAGCTTTACTTTTTAACACAACTGTTTAATTTAAAGAACTTTGCTTTCAGGTCTGTTGCAGAATAAAGGAAGGGAATGGTTGCTTCCAAAAAAAAAGATGAAATAATGCAGGGAACTGGTCTGGTTTGTTGTAGATATCCTGGAAATGTTTTTAATGGTGAAATAAAATATTTTATGTTTTAATATACATTTGGTGATGCACATTTTGGCCTCGGGATTATAGCTGGAGGGGCATTTATTTGAGTTATAGTACAGGGGATACAGGAACAAAAAATACACACGCATATATATTTATATTTATTTTGTTATGATATAACTTGCATGGAAGAAGTTCTGTTTTACCACTGAATATTAGAAAAAAACCTACTTTGTAGTACTTTAAAAAAAAAATCTGTAATTAATATGGGAAAATAATAAATAATAGTACGAAAAATAATATAAAATGTTCATAAAAACCTTTAATTTATTCCCCAAAAGCCAGAAAATAGTTGTAGCCCACGTGTGATTTGAACGCTGCAGTTTCTATCGCGAGATTGACGCCAGTGGAAGCGTTTGATGACGATGGCGGGAAAACCCACCATGGCGGGAAAAAGCAGCGTGGTCAAGACGAGGCAGAGGGCGCTGCTGCGCTGCAAATAATATTTGAATGCGCCACAAAACCATCACATTAAATCACAAAGTAACAAAAACAGGAGGACAGGAACTCGCAAAGAATTTAGACTTTTGTTCATCGTCTCTTTTTCACGTTATTTTATCACATCAGCAGCTTCTTTTAGGCGCCATGATGGTTTGAAATATCGTTTTGTAATTGTAAAAAGCTGATATGTGGAGACTCGGAGGGGGAGGGAGAGGCAAAGGAAGCACTAGGAGAAAGGAAAGGAGGAGGGACCGAGGACTTAATTATAACAGATTGGTGTGTGCGTGGTTGTGCGTGTGGCGTAAAGCCAAATTACATTATATTTTAATAATTTATCGTATTTTTAACCGAGTGATCGCTCATAAGTTTTTTTTTTTGCGTGGCTTTTTTTTTTTTTTTTTTTTACATGACCTCTTTCCTCAGTGGAAAAAGGCCTCTGTGGTGAAAATATAAAGGAAGTAGGACTAGTAGTGGTGCGTGGATCTCGACAGGCGTGGAAAGAAAGTGCGTTATCGTTAGTTGACACTGATCATCATCATCCTCATCATCCTCATCCTCATCCTCATCATCCTCATCCGGCCCTGCTTGAGAAGCGAAGCCGGGAGCTGGAGTTTGCACCAGAGGACTCACCATGGCGGTAAACCTGGATAAGGAAGCGTACTACCGCCGGATCAAGAGACTGTACAGCAACTGGAAGGTAACAAAACGGACGATTTGAAGCTCGTGTCGTCTGCTGTGGTTAACTTGCACGTGGAGAAAGTGGGCTGTTGGGAGACAACGTTACCAACGGCTAAGTTAGCCGCGTTTTTTTCTCCTTAGCGAGTTAACTGTTGTGCCGTTTCTTTGCCCACAACCAGGCCTCAGTCTGCACATTGTGTACCTGCTTTATTTGCACTTTAAAAACAACATTTTTCAACTATACGTGTTTTAGAAGACGTCCCACCAAGTATATTGTATCACAACATGCTATAACCGCTAGCTAACTCATGTTAGCACACTTTATCCCAATTCACCACGTTAGCTAGTAAGTTTGCTAACCGAGCTAACTTACATAGCCGAGCAGCTAAACTGTGTAGCGAGTTAAAATGACCAATACATGACAAATACAACGTGTTAAAGTGAGCACTGCAACATAACACACATGCATATACAGGTAAGCTTGACATTTGGCTGCCTAAGCCGTTGGCCATTATGTTAATGTCAGTTAGGGTTTGTAACGTTCGCTACATGCTAATGTTAGCTGTGGCTAATTAGCATGAATAACGTCCCAGTAACGTGCAGGATGCCTGCATCTTCTGGAAATCCCTTTTCTCTAAATGAGTACCTGTGTCTCATTACATAAACGCAACGGTATAGCTCATTTTTTTAAGGCATTAAACTCATTGTTACTTAGAAGTTTTAACTTGGAAGTTTTTGCTTAGCTTTCTACTTGGTTATTACAGCCCAATTACGCAAATAGGTCCATTAAGGAACACTTTGTTAGCATTATAAGTCATTTAAAGACTTAAAAACAGCTTTATGAGACTTGCAGCCCCCCCAGTGTGGTGCCAGGTGTCTTTATCATGGAGTCATGTTGGACTGATGCATTATTATTATTCATGCAACAACTGAAACCAGCACTCTTTGTCTACCAGCGATACTATAATAGTAGGAGCACCTCCAGTATGGTTTTCCTTTTCATGCATAACACTAGATGTGTGCTTGTATCTTTCTTTTTTGGTTTCCCAGAAAGGAGAAGATGAGTTTGGCAAAGTTGATGCCATTGTGGTGTCTGTCGGCGTGGACGAGGAAATTGTGTACGCCAAATCCACGGCCATACAGGTAAGAGCACACTCCAGCATTACAGGGTCACCTTTAAGATGCTGATGCGTTCATGTGCAGCAATTAATTAAGAAAATAATCAACATTGCTTTATTATTCTTGTATGTAAACAAAGTCTTTCTTGAGCAGCAGTACAAGAAGTTCCAAAATCTTTAAAATACATTCGCAGCTAAACAATTAGCTTTAATTTATTCACCTATTCTTATTATGAAACTCCGTACGGCATCGCTAACGTTAGCTGCAGCGGACAAGGATGGACGGCTGCTTGACAAACAGTCAAAAACTGTCCAAATGTTTGGATAAATTGCTGCTATCACCCCTCTTACATGTGAGGGTTTTATTGCATTTGTCACGACAGTTCTCAGCATTTTACACGTGCGTTTTAAGGGGTTTCACGGATGGATAACTCTATGAATCTGGTTCGTATACATGTTTTAGTTCTTCTTTTTTCCCCTCAGACATGGCTGTTTGGCTACGAGTTGACGGATACCATCATGGTCTTTTGCGACACCAAAATCATCTTCCTTGCCAGCAAGAAGAAGGTGGATTTCCTCAAACAGGTGGCCATAACTAAAGGCAACGAGAACGCCAACGGCGTCCCGCCCATCACCCTGCTCACCAGAGAAAAGGTAACCTGTGTAAAGACACGGAGGTAATGGCCTGAATACACACTCCCTTTTTTGTACACTTATCTGTGCATGATTTGAGGGTGTGATTTTTGGGAGGCAGGCGTGGTGAGCAGATTTTCTGTGTGTACGTAAATCAGATTCTTAACTGCCGTTTGGTGTCTCAGAATGAAAGCAACAAGGCCAACTTCGACAAGATGATCGAGGCGATCAGAGGCAGCAAAGACGGCAAGACGGTGGGGATCTTCAGCAAAGATAAGTTCCCTGGAGATTACATGAAGAGCTGGAACGACACCATCACTGCTGAGGGGCTGGAGAAGGTAAAACATGATCCAAAAAGTTTAATATTTTATATATAACTGTCTTGTATTCTCTAGTTTAGTCACACCTTTCCCTTTTTCACGTTGCTTCCCGACCTGCAGGTGGACATCAGCGCTGTGGTCGCGTACACGATGGCGGTGAAGGAAGACGGAGAGCTGGCGCTGATGAAGAAGGCAGCGGCCATCACCAGCGAGGTTTACTCCAAGTTCTTCAAGGAGCGCGTCATGGAGATCGTCGACGCAGATGAGGTGAGGAGAAGGAACAGTGGAGTCATGTTGGACTGATGATTATTGATTTAAGTTTACTGGACTAATGCTGGCAGTGTGTACTGGAATTGTAGCTGTTGAAAAACGTCTATCACCCTCATAGTTTTTAATTCCATGTCGGAGTAATTAGGAATTGTTTTGTTTCGCCCTCCCCCCAACAGAAAGTGCGCCACAGTAAACTGGCGGAGTCGGTGGAGAAGGCCATCGAGGAGAAGAAGTACCTGGGCGGTGCGGATCCTTCCACGGTGGAGATGTGTTACCCTCCCATCATCCAGAGCGGAGGCAACTACAGCCTCAAGTTCAGCGTCGTCAGGTAGCTCCCCTCACCGGAGCAGAGGCACGGTGATACGTTTTTTAAAGTTGTTGGTAATTGTAACTTAGCTTAGCATAAAGACTGGATGCGTGAAAACGGAAGGAGAATAAAAGGCAAAACAACCTGAGACGATCGTACATTTTGACCCTGACCATCACTTTAACGGACACCGTCTTTTCTGCTCCAGTGACAAGAACCACATGCACTTCGGTGCCATCACGTGCGCCATGGGGATCCGCTACAAGTCGTACTGCTCCAACCTGGTGCGCACCCTTATGGTGGACCCGCCTCAGGAGATGCAGGACAACTACAACTTCCTGCTGCAGGTGGAAGAGGAGCTGCTCAAGCATCTCAAACACGGTGGGTTCAGGGGCATGCTGGGAGCGTGGGAAATATTTTAAACTACTATGAATCTGCTGAAAATTACGTCGCAAGGACATGAAATCAAAATGTACAAAACTCAAAGATGGGCATAACATTTGAACATTTTAGAGGCTTTTTTGGCTTTAAAAATGACTAAAATACAGTATTTGAAAAAACTACCTAAGTAGGTAGTTATTACAAGCAGAAAGGCAACTGTGGTAAATACAGGGTTAAGTATATTTGTGTGTTTTTCTTCTTTGCAGGAGTAAAAATCAGCGACGCCTACAACGCTGTTCAGGACTACGTGAAGAAGGAGAAGTCGGACCTCGTAGCAAAGCTGACCAAAAACCTCGGGTAGATGCTCACATTTTACATCCTTTTCTCCTCCGTGTTCTCGCACACGTTCACACACTCGTCTCACATCTTGTGTTGTTTTCTTGTTCTTTGTAGCTTTGCAATGGGAATCGAGTTCAGAGAAGGCTCCTTGGTTCTGAACGCTAAAAACCAGTACAAACTTAAAAGAGGTGAGAAGTCGGCACATTCGGAGGCAAATGTCTGTCGTTGTCGATGTTGAGTGAATGCGTTTCACGAACGTCTCTCTACATTACGTAATTGTTAAGCAGCTTGTGTGCGTGTCCTCCAGGCATGGTGCTGAGCATCAGTTTGGGTTTCGCCGAACTCGTCAATAAAGACGGCAAGAAGGACGAGCAGAGGAAGTACGCCTTGTTTATCGGGGACACGATACAGAT